ATTTATTTATTTTTATTCACTTATTTTATTTTTATTATCTGTCTTGTTGCTATAATTCTGTCTGTGTACTGGAAGCTTCTGTCACCAAGACAAATTCCTTGTGTGTAAGCATACTTGGCAGTAAACCTCTTTCTGATTCTGAAAAAAATAAAGGCCCAGATATATATTCTTGGTTCTTTTTCGTTCTTCACTTATGGGTAAAAAGAAGTTTTAAATGTAAATATGTTCTGTGCGCTTTCCTCTCAATAACAAAATAAACACAAAACAAAAATTTTCAAGAAAGCATAGGAAAATCATCTGATCATAGCAACATGGATATGTTTGCACAAGCTCTGCAATTCAGCACTCTTGTAAAGTCACTGTGGCGAGCGCAGGACGAGGGCGAGGGCCGTGAGAGAGCGGCACGAGGCCGGTGGCATGATTGATAATGAGCGACACCTGCGTGACGCACCGGTCTCGTATCTCTCACGGCCCTCGGCCTCGTCCTGCTTGCCACAGTCACGTCATGTTAATTTTTAACAGATAGCTTAAAAGTAAGCAGCTTTACATTATTAAACATAAAAAAACAGTGCAAGTGTCTCATTTCATCAGAAGTGTATAACTTCATTGCGTTCATGTTTTCACTTGCGGACGACTGACCTCGACGGACTGAACAGAAGAAATGAACCGGAGAAGATTTCCATGTGAATGAAGGCGGAGCCTCAGAGCACACCTATCTATTACGTTATTGCCATGGACTAATGGTAGTACGAAGATGTTGACTAGCCGGAGCAAACTTTTCTGTAAAGTTCGCTTTGACAAGCTGTTTTGAACTCCCAAAACAAACTCTAAACGAATTTCATTTTGCCCTGATTTTGTTCGAAATGACATCAGTTCATTCTTCGATTTCGCTTGAAGTATATCGGAGCCTTAAAAATTGCAACAAAAAGAAAAAAAGTGGAGATAAGGTTAGAAAGCATGAAGCTCACAGTACCAGAATGCCAGTCTATCAGTAAAGTCCGAAGCAAGACGCAACCCATAGCAATGTCTCAGACAGTCTTAGGGCAGATAAAAATAAACAGTAAATAAATTACTTTCGAGGGATTCGTAACAAAAGTGTGCATCAAATATGCTAAACGCAGAAGCTTGAACATGCGTGTGTGACATGCTAGGAGAATAGACCTCATTTAGCACACACAAATATTTAAGGTTTATTTTTTTTTTTTTATTAATAGCAGTTGGCAAACCCACTTGAAGGAGAATTATCCGCAACCTACTGCATGACACCAGCATGACAGCTTTCGTAAAATAAAGGATCTTTGAGATCGACTCGGGATAACCCTATAACAAACTGCACAACATGACATCATGACTTTGCGTAAACATACACGCCACTTTCAATTCAAGTGGCGTGTTATCTATACGCATTTTGAGCTATCCGCGTGTATGTCCACGCCGAAATCTTTTGCATGTATGTCTACGCCATTAAATGTCCGAGTGATTCCGCGTGTATGTGTACGCCGTTAAATGTCCGAGCGAAACGAAGCAAAATTTATATCTACATCTGTGGAGCGATATTTCTTTTCCTAGGATGGTAGGAGAAGACTCATAAATGGAATTAACCCCAGTGACGGGTAGGTTTAGGGACGGGGTTGGGGTAGGTCATATATTTATATATACATAATACATTAATATAACGTTAAGTCAAAGGCGTTGATAAACACGCTGAAAAGCGATTATGCGTGTTGATAGCACGCCAAAAATGGAAATACGAATTGGCGTGTCATACATACGCCATTTCATGAGATCAGTCTGAACTGCAGATTATATGATGCACACAACCACAGATTGGGATGGAGAGTTGCCGGTCTTTGCATTTCTTGGTGTAGCTGTACAATCATTTAAAGGGATATTTCATCCAAAATGAAAATTGTGTCATTAAATGATGTTTTATTAACGAAGTTCGGGAGGAGCACATTCAGATAATTAACACGGGTGGAGAGCACTCAACAATCAATGATAATTGGTGTATATATGCGTGACTCAGCAGTCTCACCTCAGTCCATTGACAGTTTAGCAGCACCCCTCCACCGCCCCTTCTCCACACTTCTAGTCCTAACTACTTACATAGGGCAGAGTACTCTGGGTTCGGGCCGAACTCCGAGCTCGGAGCCCTCCCCCCAGACAGCACGCCAAATACGCATTAAACTTTACCCCCTCTAATTGTATGTAAGTGTGAACTCGTGAATTCACCCTCATGGGGTTCCAACCCATATAGGCCAATTCACAACGCACAGACAAACCCCAACAAACCAGTTGGCCTTTGGATTTATAACTTTATGAAAAGCAACTGTCATGTTCACACTGCCCCAAAAGACAGTGACAAGCGCTGATTGAACATGTTCAGTCGGGTAAAAATAAACCTTGACCAACACCAACAGATCCCGACAGGGCCAACACACTCTTCCGACGAAACCCAACAAACATGTTTGTTGGCGTTTGTGCAGTGTGAATTGGCCTTATGACTTTCTTTTTTTGCGGAAAAGAAAAGGAGATATTTTGAAGAATGTACTGGTCTGTCTTTTCCATTCAATGGTGTTTGAAGATGTCAAGGTTAAGAGGGCCCTACAGTGAACAAACCTCCATTTCCTTCCACTGTAGAAAAATTAAGCTAAAATATTCCTGAAACGGTCGTTACCGATTACGTAATTTGGAGCCCGAGTCTGCGCAGCAGTGATCCTAAAGGCTGGGACACATGAAGCCTATGGTCGGCCGTCAGGCACTGTCGGCTGTTTTTGAGCATCAGTAGGCTTAGTAGCTCTAGTCATACGCCGTCTGGGTTTTCGCCATCTTTGAGAGAGAGAACTTGGCTGTTCGGCCAAGCAAACGAGTCAGTGCACGAGAATAAAAGCGAAAATGATGAAAGCGAGCAAAGAAGTCAAAACGTTACAGAGACAAGTCTATTATAATTTTATGTCATCTTACCTGAGCATTCAAATGCAAATATTTTGATAATAACATGAGCCGACTGGAATGAAGAAAATTATTAGCGTGATTGATATTCAAAATGGTAAGCAAGCATTGCTTTGTACAGTTTGTATATCTGCAGTCTTAGTTTCGGTTTCCCTTTTTGAATGACGAAAATAGTCAGACTATTGATACCTGCTGATATAGACAGATATTTACTTACACCCAGGCGCAGAACGCACGTGAAAGTTGACAGGCGCCTTTAGTCCTTTTGGTGTGTTCAAAAGCAGCTTTTTGGCCGAGACAGCCGGCGAGAGGCAACAACACAGTCAGCTTTTATCTGCGCTAGTTCTTTGACGTCGGCTTGGAGTGTCCCGGGCTTTATGTGGAGCGGCCCATACACCCGCTCCTGCAGACTCAATCGCAAGCAAAGCTGTCGATCATGACATTACACCCCTTTTTTATAGCATCAAATAACTAACTAAAACCAAACTTACTGGAAAAACTAACACTTGAACATACGTCTGCGTAATAAGAACTAGCCTACATAAAATGACAGAAATCATCTTTGGAAAATAATTACTTCAAGTGTAATTGTATTTTTTAGTTTAGCTCATGTTCCAAGCCAAATGTTTTGGCATCCCTTTTCAGGACATGTGCGGCACACTTGGGCTATGTCCATGGTGATTGGAGATCACCCCCTTTACCCTTAAATAGGGCACCATTTAAGGGGAGGGGACAGCCATTTGTATTTGGTGTCCAAAACCATAGTGGACATTATCGGGTGCACTCATTCAATCCCACAATGCACTGCAATAACGAGTGTACAACCAACGAACGCTCAATGGCTAGAAGATACCCATAATGCACTGTGAGAGTAGCGCACCGAATGAATTCCCGAGTCTTGCCAGAAGATGGCACCCGCAGCTGAATCATCCATCGATCCATCCATTTTTCCAAACAGCTGGTCCACTGTGGCTACAGCGTAACATCATACAGATATAAATTCCTTTTTTATTGATTATTAAATTGTTTAATTAAAGTTGATACATAGTTTCCTTGATAGAGTTCAAGATATTTTTTTCATCTTACTACTGGAGCTCCCAATTTGGTAAGTTTAAAATAATTAAATAAACTATGCAAAAGCGGCAGCCCTTCAGGCACACTCAGTGTCCGAATTTGCTCACACGTTTTCATTCACTTCCCCAAGTGAACTATATTAGACTTGTGTACTAATGTAGGGAATAGTGAATGAGGGTATGGGTGCAATTTTGGACACAGCCTTGGTCTACACTTGTTTTCGCTTATTGGACATGTTGGATCATGTTTTTTCGGGTCGTGGAATGTCTGTGAACTGATGTACAACAATATGATGATTATTCGTGTTGGTTAGGTTTGGCCTTAAGAAGTTAGAGTTGGCCTTAAGACTTTAAAATATTTAGCACACAAGTCATGTGGACTACTTTTTTTACACTGATTTAGCTCACTTTTTCAGGCTTGACAATGAATGAGGACTGAAGATGTCACTGCATGAAAAAGAGAACATTCAGGATATGCTTACAATTTTCTCCTTTGTGCTAAAACAGAAGAAATTCATACAAGATAAGACCAATATGAGCATAAATAAAGAATGACCATTTTCAGGTGAACTATTCCATTAACACGTAGTTTTATGAAAGAGCCAGTAAGATGCCTTTTACAAAGGCTCATTCCTTGGGTAGGAATAGACAATTTCCTGTTTCTGGTGGTATAGCAACACTGATCATTTAAATAGGAGTTAGACTATAGCTATGAATGGGTAATACAAATCCAAATACTGGTAAGACTGAAGCAGCCAGGATGGGTAAAGCTACTAACATGATTGAAGTTATGCACAAGTTTTAAGCATTAGGTTTTTTTTTTTTTTTTTAAGTAAGACACAAAAAGTGAGACAGATGACATGTAATAAAGTATATAAGTATATAAATATGACATGTAGCAGCTATTTAAGTTAACAAGCACATAAAGAGAGAGGGTACTGTCGGCTTCCTCTTTGGAGGAAATATCTCACTCACCATGTGTGTAGATGTTTCCCAGCTCATTGTGCAGATAGAAGAGACTCTTGATACACTCCTGGACGGAAGAAATGGGTCTATAACCAGTCAGGACATATCTGTTGAACTGTAAATGTGGAGGAGAGTTTGCCCAGTCCAGCAGTCTGGGACCGTTTAAAAATGCCATAGCAACCAGAAACAGTCACAACGACGACGCTAAAATAACTACGCTATACATCTACAGTTACACGTACAACACACTAAAAAAAGATTTGACACCCTAGACATCAGTCAGAGAAGTCCAGTCCGGTCATGTGCAGCCAGCTACATGGCTAACAGACCGGTTCTTAAGCCGCAAGAATTTAAAAAATTGACTTTTGCCTTAGCGACGGTTTATTTTCGAGCGGTTGCGGCGGCGTCATCCACACGGGTTGACGTAGAAATTCCAGGCTGCGTTCATAGTGAGCTTTGCTGGTTTATTCAGTGCAGCATGTAACATTTAAACGAAGTGCGGTCACACCCTGCTCAAGTCTTTCAAACAAAACCCCACCAGCTTCTGTCAGCTCGACTTCAGAGGCGACCCGAGGAGAGGTGGCTTTCGTTTGCTGCTCATCAAACAGCCGCTGGATAATTTCACCATCGGGAACCGCAGGGGTCTCGTGAACGCGAAGCCGTGTTCTCGGTTCAGTATAACTTCCTCATATTCCCATGGAGTGAATCATCATCATCATCATCTGTCCGTCCTGAGCGTTGGCATCCAAGCTACCAGCGCTCTGAGACCCGTGTGTTTGCAAAAAACGGATACAAAAGACTCATTTACAGGACATTTCGACCTGAAAGAAGCCCGAGACAGGTGTATTTTCGGTAAACAAATACCGGAATGCGTTTAATATAGTGACGATACGACAATATTGCTTGGCACCAACCATAAGTAACGTAGTCACTATACAAATATACAGTGCAGTGCCAGAATCGATATGACATACCACGGGATTTAAGGGGTTAACACTAAGATATTCGGCTTACGTATAAAATAAATAAATAAATAAATAAATAAATAAAAAAGCACGGAAGTTTGATATGTAGTATTATCAAATTCTCATAGATATGTCAAGTTTTTCTCCTCGCCCAGATATCAAGCATCTCCTCCAGCACTATCCAATAAGGAAGTGCACCGTGCAGATAAAAAGTGCCCACACATGTATTATGTGCTTTGCTCTTTCAATTTAACAATAAGGATATTTTGATATCAGACGCGCTCAGTGCGTTTTCTGTTCCCTGTCATACACTACCCGGATAGCTCAAGAGCTAACGGGCTAGCCGCCGTCACCTTGATTGTGCTGACTGCAAAAACACACGAGCTTCACAGTCACCGCTTTAGCAGCGGTTAAACTTCACAACTGGATTTCCCAAACAGCGGCACAAGCATTCCTGCAATTCGCCCCATTCCGACTAAAAATCTCTGTATCCATAGGCTTGGCGTTTGTCATCCAGCAACCGGAGGAATGTCTGCGGTGCTCAGCTCACAGGAACACGTCTCCCTGTGCTGCCAACCAAGTGATGTTGCTGCTAGCTTGCAGTGATTTCAGCCAGCAGAGTTTTAAACGTGGGCTTTGGTGAGGAAATCCGTTTCTGTTAAGTGGCTATGCCCCAAAAAAGGTTATCCTCTAGTTCCCCGGCTCATTTCTTATGGGCTGTGTGACACCGGTGTGCGGGAACATGCGGCTGGTGGAGGGGCGCAGCGGCCCGGCCTTCACTCCTCATCATCCGCTGATGCTGCAGCGCTCTAATCCAGTCTGGACCAACTGGAAGGAAGAGCCGGGGGTGGCGCGAGGACAGGATGGATTCAGTTTGTGTCTTTTAGATTTTTTTCCCCATTAAATATATTTTCTTAGAATGAAACAGCAAGAAGACGTAAAAAAATCACTATTTTCGCTCATTGTATTTTATAAGAGTATTTTATAATGATAGATCAAGAGCGATGTCCGATTCTGAACGAGTCGGATCTTTTCAATGAATTGGTTGGACAACGATTCGTTAACCAATCGAACTGAATCCGTCATTTGACCGAGCACTTGGAGTGTAACGTAACCGAGGATTTGACTGATATTTCATTTCATTTAATTTATTGTTCTATTCTCTTTTCGTGGTAATGCAACCTAAAATACCACAAGAACAACCTAACAAATCCAACAAACACAAGATATAGCGAATAGTTAGTTTAAAGTCACCACAATATCAAAATTGACCATTTTTCTTTCGGGGGGGGGGGGGGGGGGGGGGGCAGGGGGGATGTTTAGCATTTACATGTTCAGCCAGGATATTTAAATGATTTTTTTGTTAATTGTATGCAAATTATATTTAGGTTCTTCTTTAAAGAGCTGAATCACGGGCTGCAAATGAATTGAGACCATAACCATTAATTTACCATTATTAATAAAACACTTAGGCCTATAGCTTTTATGCTTTAAATTTATACTTCGCCGGGATGCCAGCAGCCACAGACATAACAATGCTGTGACATAAAATAATTGTTGATTCTTTTTACCACGGTTCTTTGAAATGAATGGTTTTAAACAAACGATTCTCAGAAATGAGTCAAACTTGCCATCACTAAAAGCAAGTGTTGAGCAAATAATTACAAGTGTGGGGCTCTGCAGACCCCTGTCTCAAACTGGAGCACACTTACCATTATTAAAGGTGGGCATGGAATTTTGACATTCTATGAATGACTATTTATTTATGGTGCATCTTTTAGAGTGGAAAACCTTTTGTCTTATTTTCTCTGACTTTAGTATGCTTAAAACTTTATTATTGGATAAAAGATTCAATAATATAAAGCTCTTCACATGCTTAAGCTGTAGGTTGTTTGAGCAAGCATGTAAGTTGTCTATTTTTTTTATTGCACATTTATTTTAGCAATAAGGCCCTGCAACAATAAGTTGTATGCAGGTCAAAACCTTTTAATTTCTTTTGTATTATTTTAACATCTAATGCAACACAATGTTCAGATATAAAATTATGTAAAAAAAATAATATTAAACACATACACACACAAGCTTCACACATCACACCAGAATCTAAAATTTCCAACCACTAGATGAAAAGCTAGTTCTTTTTATGAGTCATGATGCCAGACCATGCAGACCACAGTCATAGGATGAGCTTATTTATCAGAGTATTAAATGCATGTATTTTACAAACATCTTTATCTGCATCTGGGCCCATGTTTAAGACCTCTTTTAAGTAAATCCGCAAACATGTCTTCATAGAATGTTTGCATTTTAATTTAAAAGTAACAAGTTAATCAAGACAAAACAGGTCATGGTGAAAAAAACAGTTAAATGACCTAAGATATAGAATTTGCCTTATATATTCATATTCATTTAAACTTGTATGGTAAAAAAAACATGCATTATAGCTCATGCATCAACTTACTATTTGCATTGTTTGCAGATCTCAACCTGCAGGAAGGGCTGTTTTAAGTGAGAGTTTGAGCCTATACTTTGAGCCATCAGGCTACTTTCTTTGATTTTTAAATTTTGCATATAATTCAGAATGTCTGCTCAGTTTCTGCAATTAAAAAGATGATAATGGTTATTGTGAGTATAAAGTTTTGTTGAAATTAAACCACATTCTTTTGTCAAGCAACACCTTGTGTTGTGACCCATGTTCCAACCTTTCACACATTTTTTCTTCACTTTTCACACATGAGTCAGTGACCTAAGTGTAAATGTTCTCATACCTGTCCAGTGATTGGACATATTATAAATCTTTTTTTTTTTGGTGTGTGGCATAAATATGAGCACAGCATAGGCTACCTCTCAATCTGCTTGCGGGACGCTCTCAGATTATGATTACGACCTTCCAGGTAAGTGAAAAACAGCCTCACTTCACTGTGAATACTAATAAATACTTAAAAAGCTTCAAGATATTTTTTTTAAATATTTTGTTTCTGCTCCTGTAAAACAAAAAAAGTTTTGATGATGATGATGATGATGATGAAGCTCTAAGTGTTATTGGTTAGGTTAAGGTTAAGGTGTACTTTATTGTCTTTATTTAACTTTAAATTTGACGTGCGGGCTCAAAAATACAGCCACTGCATAAAACATGTAGTAAAAAAACAAAATAACACAACACAAATTACACATAAATTAGAGAGAGAGAGAGAGAGAGAGAGAGAGAGAGAGAGAGAGAGAGAGAGAGAGAGAGAGAGAGAGAGAGAGAGAGAAATATGGAGCGAAAAATATAAATCCAAGTAGGCCTACATAAACTAATTTTTTTTTTTTTTTTAAGTAGCCTACTTATGGTGTTATTCAATTGCAGAAGGAATGACCGATTCTTAAACCGTTTTAATTTACAACTTGGCATTCTTAATCTCCTACCCGATGGCAACATTTCAAACTAACAGTTCAGGTTGTGTGTTCAGTGTTGTATCATACAGAATCGCATATGCCTATAGGTTTATTCCGTGTCACACCACTCAACAAACTGGTTAATTTCTGGTTAATAAAAGAGTGGTAAAATGAGATGTCTTGATTTGTATATAATAAGATAAGAATAGCAGTATCGTAACTAAATTTCACAATGTAATTGTTAATGTTTTTGCTCACACAACCATTTGTGTACAGTGTGAAGAGAACTGGGGAGCTCACCCCTTGAGGGACTCCTGTACTGATAGATTGAGAGTCAGAAATCATCTTATTAACCTTAACCCGTTAAAAAAAGAAAAGCACCATTTTATAATACAAGGATTTACATCCATCTGTTTCAATTTCTCCAGTAATAAATATGGTTGCAAAGTGTTAAAAGCTGAACTAATTTTTTTTTAAAAGAAGGCGTGTATATGTGTAAGTCCTCCAAATGTTTAGAGACTAAATGGGTGATACTTCCTTTACTGCATCATCCGTACTCCTGCCCTGTCTGTAACCAAACTGCCATGGATCTAATTTTAAGGTTACTTCACTTTTCAATAAAGAAACAATACATTTCTCAAATCATTTCATTACAATTGATGTTAGTGCTGCAGGTGGTCTATAATCATTATTCTCAGACGGATGGGGCTTTTTTTGGAATTGAAGTGATCACAGAGCGTTTCCAGAGTGCAGGAACGCTGAAAGAGTGTACACCACATTGGACAAGTTCTACAGCACAGCACAAGTTGTCAAAAGCAGTGCAGAAATCCCATCAGGTTCTTTTGATTTCTTTGTGCATAACTGATGAAATAGTAATTGCACCTTGGAACTATCTACCTCTAATCTAGTGCCCATATTATCTGTTAGAGAGCCTATAACAGATTTACATTTATCAGAGAAATCATGAATTTGAAACCGAAGATAAAAATCATTTGTTCAGTAGCCTTCTGTAAATCGTCGACCTATATGTCTACTCGATTCCATATTAGTAACAGCCTTCATTGTGTCCCATAGTTTTTTAGAATTTGAAGTGGAAAGCTGATGCTCAATAATATCCTTTTGTCATCCCCATACTGATTCTGCATGGTAACAATATCATAGTGAATTGGTAAGCCATCAAAAATCTTATGCTAAAATCTTAAATGTCTATAAAATGTTTAATTATAAACAGAAAACTTATTTTATATTAGTACATTTCTAATGAAGGGTGAAGGATACACTAATCTAAATGCGTGTGTGTGTGTATATACACGTACTGTATGTATATATATATAAATATGATCTCTTAAATTTGATTTTAAAAACCTTGCAGATACCCTGATTGTATATTAATTACAGGTTAACAATATTAATATTGTGCATAACAATCAGTGATTTTTTTTTTTACAACCTCATTTTTTATTTATCTATATCACAACAGGATAATATCACACACCCAAATTCGCAATGATTCCTCTAGCTATCCTCTGGTCTGGGCTTCTTCTGCACCTTCCTTCTCCAACCAGCCCAGCGTGCTTTCTGGGTAAAGAAGCAGAGTGTCAAGATGCCGATTTTGCACCAGGATCTGATTTGGCTGGAGAGGGTTTCGACATTACTAAGATGCAACGCCTGGGGACTTTTGTCATCGACATGAGTAAGTGGGAGCTCAAGAACAACACGTGTAACCTGTGCAAAAACCCATTCATGCAGAACAAAAAGCAGAAGCTCCCGGTGTCTGTGGTTTTCTGGAGGGCCAACCAAAAGTGCAGCAGGTCAGTATCCAGCTCCGTTTATGAGTCCAGCGAGTCCCTGGTCAGCTCCAGCACCTCCTCTGTGGAGAACAACTGGAAAGCCGACCTGAAAATAGGCAATGTGGTGAATGAGATGTCGCTGATGTTGGCTGGAACTAACTCCAAACTTGCTGAGTATTCAATGACGAAGACCAAAAAGGACAAGTTCAGCTTCATCAAACAGTCTGCGTCCTGCGAATACTACAGGTAAGACTTAGTAGATCACACTTTATATTAGATGTCTTTAACTGCTACCATGTACTTCAAAAACTAAGTGAAAAAATCTATTAAATGTTAGGTACAATATACTTATTGTGTTTGTATTGTATTGCAAACATTTTTTTTAATGCTATTGAGGTGGGAAACAAGGTTAGAGACAGGTTTGGTTTGGGAAGGGTTAATGTCATTACAGTAATGAATTACAGCTGTAATTACATGCAGGTATTTTTTTAAATATTAGTACAATGTAAAAACACGCATACACAATAAGTGAATTGTATCAAATTATTATTTTAAATCTTACACAGACACTCAATATAAATTTGGACCACTCAATATATATATACAGTATATATATATATATATATATACATTTATAGGTCAATTGTTGTGATGAGCATCATGGTTTATTGTTTACTGTATGTAGATTTTAATGTGCAGCAACTATTGTCTTCAGCTACAGGATTGCCAGCCGCTCTCCTTTACATCGCGAACTAAACCATGAATTCACAAATCTTCCAGGGACATATGACAACCAAACAAAAGAAAGCTACTTGTCACTTGTTGAAAAGTTTGGCACACATTATATTGTCCAGGTAAATCAAAAGAAATATAAATGCTTATACATACTCCAAGGTATATTTTTAATTTTACACTTGTTCTTTGTAAAGGTGAAAATGGGTGGAGCTGTGCAATCTGTGACCAGTGTCAAACAATGCATGGCTACTCTACAGGACATCAGTATGGATGAGGTTAAAACATGTCTGGACGTCGAGGCATCTGCTAGTGCAAAGATGAGGATCAGTGTAGACACAGCATACCATCACTGTAAACAGGCCAAAGACAAAAAACTGAGCACGCACAGTTTTGCTAACAGTTTTAGTGACAGGTTTGTGCTTTGACTTATGAGACTGTGACCCTGAATAAAAGACTAGTTGGCTAAACATTATAGTCTGATATAAATATTAGTTATATATACTGTTCAAAAGATTGGGGTAGATTTTTTTTTTTAAAGAAATTAACTTTTATTCAGAAAGGATGAATTCAATTGATCAAAAGTGACAGTAAAGACATTTATAATATTATAAAAGATTACAATTTCATATTGACATAGATCTTTCTGTTAACTTTTTATTCATTAAGGAATCCCACAAAATATTAAGCAGCACAACTGCAACTACATTGATAATAATAATAAATGTTTCTTGAGTAACAAATCAGCATATGAGAATGATTTCTGAAGGATCATGTGACACTGAAGATTGTATTAATCTTAATAATTAATCATTGTAATAATTTTCAGAGTAATATAGCTTTGCCTCACAGGAATAAATTACATTTTAAAATATAATAAAATAGAAAACAGTTATTTAAAAAATATATATTTCACAATATTACTGTTTTTATTAAATAAATGCAGCCTGGTGAGCATAAAGACTTCTTACTAAAACAACTAAATCTAAATACAGACCCCAAACTGAACAGTAGTATATTTTCATTAATATAATATAATATAATATAATATAATATAATATAATATAATATAATATAATATAATATAATATAATATAATAATATAATAATATAATATAATATAATATAATATAATATAGGGGTTCACACTTAATTATTTTTCTTTCTTTTTTTTACAAGGTTAACTGAAATCACTGGTGGCCACACTCAAGACACTGCGCTTCTCTTCTCAGCCAGCAATGACCCTGGTGCTTACACTCAGTGGCTCTCCACAGTGCCAGAGAAACCAGATGTGATTTCCTTTTCACTCAAGCCCCTCCATATGTTGCTGCCAGTCAAGAACCCAAAACATGAGCAATTACGCCGAGCCATTCGTGACTACATACTGCAGAAGGCCCTTTGGAGGAAATGCTCCTCACCTTGCAAGGCTGGTATTGCAACTAACCCCAAGGAACCCTGCGTGTGCAGCTGTCATAACAGCCCTGGAGTGAAAGCAAACTGCTGCCCAACACAGCGCGGACTTGCTCAAATTACTGTAACTGTGACAAAGGCGACCGGTCTGTGGGGAGATTACTTCTCACAGACTGATGGGTATGTTAAAGTCCTGAGAAATCACAAGCTCTTTCTTGGGGAGACACCAGTGATTTGGAACCAAAACTCACCAACCTGGAACTGGAAGTTTGATCTTGGCAACTTCGTTCTCTCTCAGTTTGGGGGTCTGAGGCTAGAGGTGTGGGATAGAGACAACAAGTGGGACGATGACCTCCTGGGGGCGTGCAACATTCAACTAACAGCTGGCGTAAAAAGCAACTTCTGTCCACTCAACCATGGTTTGCTGTACTACAAGACGGATGTAACCTGTGGTCCTAGTTTAGCTGGCTCCTCATGCACAGACTACGTGGGCTCTCCAATGTCTTCCCATCTGGAGAAGACATACATGTCACGACATGCCCGGCCCATCCCGAAAGATGTGTTGGTGGAAATGGGGGTGCTTTTGGATGAGCGCCGCTTTCAGTTCAGTCAGACCAGTGATCCTAAAAGAAAAACCCAGACTTTGTGAAAGCACAATACAAATATAATTTTAAAAAATCAAAAATATAATTTTAATAATTATATAAAAAATAAAAATTTGTGCTTTGCATGTGCATTTTATAACTGGTCTTTGTTTTCTTTATGTTATATAGATCTTTGATATAATAATTCTGATAGTCCACTTTAGACTGTCCATTGACTAAGTAACTTTGCAACTACATGGCAATAGTAGACAGCCTTCTTAATATCTACTAAATTTGATGGTTCCCCCTAACGAGTTAGTTGACATAGTTGAAAAATTACTTAAAGTTAGTACAATGTCAAAATAAAGTGTAACGTTTTTCTATATTTCACTATATTTTCTGATTTTTAGTTGCATGCTAATTTGTGTGGTTAATAAAGCAATGAAAACAGCAGCTTAGTGATTCTTCTAAGTGATTCATGTCATGCATTTTTAGGCTGCTGAACTGTGAAAAGCGTGTAGGAGGTTAGGTCTGTTTAATACCACAAGAGGAACTATGTGACTAACATTAACAATGAAGCACATTTAACATTTAGTAAAGTTGTGATCTGACTAATTTTGTGTTACAGTCAGGGTCTACATGCTCCATGTTTTAACAATGCACAGGTCAATGTGTGTATGACTGCTCACATGTTCCCCTGATATGTTGTCCCCATTTGACCACAGAGTGTATTCAGCGCTGCGGGGGCTATTTAAGACCACATAATTCCTCTGAACTCAAAAGCGTATACCCTCACTTACCCACGACAGATGAGTGTGAATTTTTTATTGGTAGCCCATAACGGTAAAGCCCACCCACAAACTTAGGTTTATATGTCATGCATAGCCCCTCTCACACATTATACACAAACGCCGTCGGACAAAACAGAGTAGCTGAAGGTAAGACGAGACTTTTACATCCCCTTTAAAAGAACAGTGCTTTTTTCTTCCTGTTTAAGCTTCATGTAATGCAACGGAAATAAGTAGCTGAAATTTGTTATTTTTTTAGTATTATTCCTTATGATCCCTGTAGGCGAGACCCACTAAATTGTCTCACAAATTCCATAATCCTATACTATACAATATAATTACCCCTTTTAATGCACAGCCCACTGTTATTAAAAAACCTGCAGCACAAGGCATCCATCCTGTTATGACAAGTCATATGTTAAATCCTGTCTTGTTAATATTTCAAAATTGGTTAGTTAGTTATTTTAGGGACTATATAAGGTCTTCAGAAGTGTCAGTTAAACTACAACAATTCCATTTGGTAATGATAAGTATTACTTCAAATTTAATTGAATTACATTACACTTTTTGAATATATATTCATAATTTTAATGTTTTTAGACCATGTTACCCTGCTCTCCTGATGCTAGTGGCAATACACAATTGATTTCTAATGACATATAGGAAGAGATAAAATACATTGAAGTATACAAACAACTTTATATTTTATTTTCCTGCATCTTGTTGATAGGATGTGAGTAATTATCTATATAATAATTGTGTATTTTGAGTGTGTGGGTTTAAATCTGCTATTTTTTCTCACCACTGAATGTATAATTTTATAATGCCTTGTGAAATTCTAATAAAAAAATGTTTTTCAAAGGAAAGAAGAGCATCCATACACCTTATCTCAACCCATTTTACAGAGATGTGGGCCGGGCTTGTTATTTACCTCTTTCTGCCCGCCGTGCAGTCATGCGCTAAAGGTAAACCGAATGAATGTGCACAAGCAAACTTCGCCCCCGGGTCCAACCTTGCCGGAGAAGGATACGATGTGACCAAGATGCAGCGCAAGGGAGCCTTTGTCATTAACACCGATGTCTGGAGGCGAAAGGATAAATCCTGCATTCTTTGCATGAACCCCTACATGGACGGGGCAAAGCAAAGGCTTCCCATATCTGTGGTGGACTGGAGACCCAGCCAAAAGTGCAGCATACAAATATCAAGTTCTCTGTACCAGTCCAGCGAGGATCTGATCAGCTCCAGCACCTCCTCAATTGAGAACAACTGGGGGGCAAATTTGGGAATAGATATTGGCCAAAATAAAGGTTCATTCATTATGGCTGGAACTAATTCGAAACTTGCGGAGTACTCGATGGAGAGGACCAAACAGGACAAGTTCAATTTCGCCAGTCAAAGTATTTCTTGTGCCTTTTACAGGTGTGCCTTCTTCGACAATTGATTGATTACTTTATTGATTATAAAGGAAACAAATGAGTAACATTATGTAGTCTTCTTCTATCGCCTCTAACATGGGGTTTCAATGTCTACCTACAGCTACAGGGTCTCCAACAAGCCTGTTCTCCATTCTGAGTTCAAGCGCTCTGTAAAGGAGCTTCCCAAGACATACAATCTTGTTTTCAAACCACGTTTCTACAAGTTTATTAACACCTATGGAACCCATTACATCACTAAGGTAATTTGGTTTCACCCTCTTTTCAATAACTTGTGTTGTATGCATTTCAAAGGCCCAAAATGCTTCAACACAATGCAAGTCAAATCCGTAATTAGAAGTGCCTAGATGACATTTTTCTGATTTTTCCAGGTAACTCTTGGTGGAAGCGTACAGTCTGTGACCAGTATCAGACAGTGTGAGATCGCTCTACAGGGCCTAAGTGCGGATGAAGTGAAGAAATGCTTGGATGTGGAGGCAAATGCCAGCATTCGTGGCAAAGTAGATATGAAGGCAGAATCTAAGCACTGTCATGAAGACAAGAGCAAAACAGAGCACAAAAGCAGCTTCTCCAGCCGCTTTAATGACAGGTGGGGTTAAATAAGGACGCACTATGTTTTGTAGTTCATAGCTTGTAATATTGTCCTTGCTAACAAAAATCAACAGTAGTGATGCACAATTTATCGATACAATTTCACATTTTATATTTAGATTAGCTCTGCCATGATCTAAAACTCACAAAGTTAATCTTTAAAAACAATGATTTAATAACACTGTTAAATGTAATATTTAGCAGATCTCAAATTCAGCGTCCATTTTTCATATTGTACATTATAATGTTGTGACACCTAAATTCACTTGTAGCATTTAAAACTACTGATTGAAATTTTTTTTTTTTTTTTTTATTTTTTTATCTTTTACTATATTTTTTTATTTTCATTTTCTCTAAACATTCTTAAATCACGATACATTTACTTGAGAAGCAACATGACAAGATAAGTAAACTTCAAAAAGATGTGCAAAAAAGTTTGAGCATAAACTCGCTTAGCCTAATTTTGATACATTTATCAGAGACAAGACATACTGTATATTGTCATTTTGCTTTTCAAGTAAATGTATCTTGATTTTAGACTGTTGAGCTATTTTTGCTGGAAAACAAGACAAAAATTCAGAGTAAGAAAATTCACTTTTTCACAGTGAACCTGAAAAAAATGATTAGACAGAACTTTAATATTGGTGCATCCCTAATTAGCAGATCCCAAGTTATCATTGTTTTCCATTCAAAGGCAGACCTATGTCACTGGAGGTCACACCACAGAGCCCGAGCTCCTTTTCTCCGGAGGAAAAGACCCGGCAGCGTACAAAGAATGGCTTGCATCCCTTCCACAAAACCCAGATGTGCTTTCTTACTCTCTGGAGTCGCTACATGAGCTGATCTCCACCAAAGATCCAGTGCGCAAGCACTTGCGCCAAGCCATCCATGACTACATTCTGGAAAAGTCCCTCTGGAGGAACTGCACAGACTCTTGCAAAGATGGTGTCAAAGCCAACCCAAACAATCCATGTGCCTGCACTTGTCGCAACAATCCAGGGGTCACACCAGATTGCTGCCCATCCAAGCTTGGACTTTCTCGGGTCAAGGTGACAATCGTGAAAGCTGAAGGTCTGTGGGGTGACCAAACCACAGCGACAGATGGGTACGTTAAAGTGTTCAACAAACATAACGCGCAGATCGGACGCACCGATATGATCACGAATAACAACTCACCCTACTGGGGGAGGACCTTTGATCTGGGTGATGTTGTCCTGGCAGAGAATGACAAGATGAAACTGGAGGTGTGGGATGAAGATAGTAAATGGGACGACGATTTGCTGGGAACCTGTGAAGTAGCCATAAAAGCAGGTCAGAATGTCAATTTCTGCAATTTAAATCATGGCCTGCTGTTCTACAAAACAGAAGTGACATGCGCCCCAAGTTTGTCTGGCCCCTATTGCGCAAAGTATGTGGGTTCTCCCATGAACTTTCACCTGGAGAAGGTATATGTGTCTCGAAATGCACGACCTGTGCCAGCAGAAATGCTAATGAGCAAGGGAGTGCTTCTGGACAGACTTTATGTATATCAGAAGGCAAATTACAGTGCTAAAACTATTTTGTAGTAAGTTTTGGCTTTTGGATCTGATTATGCGACGACTATTCTTGTATTGTGTTTGTATTTATCACATAAGTAATATAATTTAACATTTCTCAATATTAGAGACAATGCGCAATACGTATTTATTATCTGCTGTCTTTATTGCAGCATTTCCATGCTTGCACGGGCAATTTTTCAAAAAGACATCATATACATTGTAACTGTACTGTGTTATTATGCTCTTTCAGTCTGCACACATCATTTTTATGTTTATTGTGAGTAGCATGATTTCATGACTTTCACTATGATGATAATTCATCTTATTGATGAATAGTGAATGATATTCTATAACTAAAAACATAATGCCTTGTTCCAATAAAAGCTCAAAAGGGCACACACCATCTGCTTGGAGTCGTATTTGTTTTGCTTTTTCCAACCCATCTGCTTTGTTTAAAGGGATAGTTCAACCAGAAATGAAAATTCCGTCACCATTTACACAACTTGACTTTCCTTCTTCTGCAAGACACAAAAAGAAGATCATTTTGAAGAAATGTTTAAACTGTTTTTGACCATTCAATGAAAATGGGTCCAAAATAACACTGAACCGACTTTTATTCTATAGACCAAAAAAAAAAAAAAAAACACTTTGCATTTTTTCTATTGTATTTCTGACATTTTGGGGAGAGAAAAAAAGTGAAACAGGTTTGGAATGAGTGACATGAGTGCGAGTAAATGATGACAGAATCTTTATTTTTCTTTCTTTAACAATGGCCCTGATTCATTTGTTCTTAAATGGTGTCTCACCAGTGTGACACAGGATGCTTGTTGTGTGGTTTTCCTGTAGACGGATGAGAACTGTGAGCAGTATGTAGACCCATATGAGAGCTCACAAGATTATCACTGTTATGTTATACTCTGTCATTTTGTTACTGTCTCGCTTTGAGAGCTTACATGATGTTTAATTTGATAAGACAAAAAGAAATGTCCTCACAATAGAAATCAAAACCATCTCTTGGGTTGTTCTGATGCTAATAGCGCAGGTTCAAACCCCATCATCACCCATCATTTTTATGACATCCTCAATGATCATATGGTTGTCAAACAAACACTAAGGAGTCAAATTAGGAGGTGGAATATTTAGTGTTTCATAAGAATTAAAATAACAGCCAATGAAATGCTTAGCATGTTTTAGTAAGATACAGAGACACACAAGGACATGAAACACTCCACTGGACAAGACAAATAAACAGACTGGGGGAACATCCACAAACATCAAGCCACATAACAATAAACACCAAAACCACACATACACACAAAACACACATGCCCACACAAATGGGCACCAAAGTAAAGCTAAAACAATATGCCAGACAAAAACATGTCACAAAACTGCACAACGGTGAGGAACACTGGGCGAAAAGGGGCCAAAAAACACTGGCGAGGTTAACAGCATGGCCCAGGAAATCAACCTAAAAAGACAGAGGATGAGAAGTGATGCATGAGAAAGGATAGAAGACACAATATACTGAGTTAAGAATACAGATCTTCTACATCATCTACCTTTGTACCCATTCCCATAAATGCCACTAAGCTTGCTTCCATCCTTCTGTCCTATAGAAGAAAGATTGAACATAGTGAAACTAAGCGCACTTTAGATAAACTTGTTGGTTTAACTGAAATCGCTTCAGTACTCACCACCATAGGAACCTTGACCACCAGTGCTAAGCGCTGCTGCATAGCCTGTGCCTAGAAATGATCAGTCATCACACTCGCTATTAGTCAAAGGCTTGTATTTAGTCAATGATGTCTGCTAGCCATTAACATGTTAGTGGAGAAATGATCAAGACAATAACACAGACAGGTGGTCAGTTATCAGTCCATAACAACTATTGAATTATTTAATCAGTCAATATGAGCAGGGTGCGATTTGCCGGGGGGGGGATGCGTGGGATTTCCCCCTTTCTGGTCAAAGTATCCCTGCCTCTGCTTAATTATTTTTATCCCCGGTGGGGATAAATTTACCCCCCCCTCAAAGTGATCAGTGCTACTACACTAGTGGTGAGACGGATCACAAAACTTATCACGGGTTCCGTGGTTTGATTAAAGGCATAGTTCGGCCAAAAATGATATTTAACACATGCATTACTCACCCTCAAGCCGTTCGAGATGCATATGTCAATCTTGTTTCAGACGAACACATTTTCAGTTATTTTAGAAAATGTCTTAGACCCTTCAGTGGATATAATGTGAAGCAATGGGGTCCACCTCCTTCAAGTCCCAAAATGTGCATACATCCTTCACAAAAGTAATCCATCCGGCTCCAGGGGGATAAACGAAGGCCTTCTGAGGGTAATCCGTGCGGTTTTGTCGTAAAAATATACATATTTAAAACTTTATAAATGAAAATATCTGACTTCCGGCAACGATCGACGCGCGTTCACGGGTGATGGAAGTCGGCGTACGAGGTAGGACGTAGCGTAGGAACCGTCGTGACGTAGAACGAACGCGCCTGCGCAGCCAGAGAGCAGAGCAAAACAAAACTACACTCAGTTCACCCATGAACGCGCGTCGATCGTTGCCGGAAGTCAGATATTTTCATTTATAAAGTTTTAAATATGTATATTTTTACGACAAAACCGCACGGATTACCCTCAGAAGGCCTTCGTTTATCCCCCTGGAGCCGGATGGATTACTTTTGTGAAGGATGTATGCACATTTTGGGACTTGAAGGAGGTGGACCCCATTGCTTCACATTATATCCACTGAAGGGTCTAAGACATTTTCTAAAATAACTGAAAATGTGTTCGTCTGAAACAAGATTGACATATGCATCTCGAACGGCTTGAGGGTGAGTAATGCATGTGTTAAATATCATTTTTGGCCGAACTATCCCTTTAAAGTCAATTTTATTTTAAAATGCGCTTCTTTGGCTGGCTCTCTGTAATCACCACTCTGCAGACTTGCTCAATGTCCCGCCCACAGCGCTATCTGATAACTCCTCACGAGTAATAGCCTATCAACACTTGCGAGACTGGGCAGTGGAGCTGTGTGTCGGAGGCGTTTAGCGCGGCGCGGTAGGGACGCGAATGCATCTGTCTTTTCTATCATTTCACTGTAGCTCAGCATCGCGATGTAACGTTAACGTTGTTATTTTAACAGCAGTACAACTGTTTCTACTGTGATGGTTTAACTTCGCAATCAATCCATGGTTCAGCAGACTGATAGAAGTAGCTTAGCCTAAACTAAGTAAAGCGCTGTAACGTGAATTGTCAGTGCGATAGAACAATAAAATCCGAAATGGACCGCCCACTGGAAAGCTGCGGATTTTCCCACAGGAGAGCAGAAAAAGACCGTTTTCCAAGTATGATCAGTGTTGAGCATGTTACTTAAAAAAGGTAATTAGTTATAGTTACTAGTTACTTCTCACAAATAGTAACTGAGTTAGTAACTGAGTTACATCATTATAAAAGTAACTAATTACCAGAGAAAGTAACTATTGCGTTACTTAAAAAAAAAAAAAAAAATCAAATAGGCCTATGTCAAATAATTTGGATGCCCCCAGTATTAAATATGTTAAATTAATGAAATGGACACTTAATAGTGTAGATTAGTGTTCAATGTTTTATAATAATAATTTATTCTATTTTAATGTTGCTGTGGGACAATGTGAGAGACGCCTATTAAATTCAATATATTATTCTAAATATTAGCATTACTATAGTAGAACAATAAAACATTATAGATGGTTTATACTTAATATCGCACAGACCCCAACTGGCCAACAAATAAGTTTAAAAATAAATTATGCTTCTTAAGAAATGTACCAAAAATGAATAAATAATAATAAAAAATATGCATACTCTTTGTGCATATTAAAATGATAAAACTGTTACACAACTTCACAACTAGTAGACATACTGTAGCCTAAGTATTTTCTTCCTAACAAAAGTAAACAGTTTAACAAGTGCTCTCTCAATATAATACTGAACAATTTACCAAAAAAAAATATATAATACTAAAATATAATATTTTGGGGGTTTATTTTTATAATAGCGAACGTTATCATCAGAGATTATTTAAGCCAAATTCTAGACATGTTTGCCGCACGTGTTTACAACCGGTCAAACAAATAGCCTATGTTTTGTTCCCTGCAGGTTATTTTCGGGTTTATTTTATAACCTAAACAGAACGTTACCTGACGGTAATTTTTTAGATTTTACTTGTATAACCCTGTAAATTAATTAACGTTGCAGATATGTGTCATTTATTTATAAACAAACTATATAATGCTCGGACACCCTCGGTCTCTCTTGCGCAACTCGCGCTCTCGGACACTTTCGGTCTCTCTCGCGCATTGAGCGCGCTCGCGCCAATCGCTGCGCTTTTGTCCACTCCGGCGCCTCATAAACACACACACACACTAGAGATGCGGGCTATTATTTCATCCGCAACCGCATCACAAAACTCATCATCCGTCCGCCATCCATCCGCACCAACGTTTTTGACCAATTTTCAAAACCGCAGCCGCCCGCCATCCGCTGATACAAGGCGCTGCTGATGACAGCCGCGAGACTAGAAACCGCCCGCCATCCGCCCGAATTTAATTAAAATATTTTTTTCCGTCCCGTCATCCGCCCGATCCGCGGTTTATCCGCGGCTATAACCGCCAACCGCGCATCTCTAACACACACACACACACACACCAGAGAAAAAAACTTTGCAGGTCCTATGGCGGAGAGAGAGCCTACTCGGATGAAAGCCGCTTCAGTGAGTTCAATTATAGTAACGCCACATTTTTTTTGTCAGTAACGGTAACTGCGTTGTAACGGGGGAAACAGTAATTCGTTTGATTACTCGTTACTGAAAAAGATAACGCCGTTTATTTATAACGCCGTTATTCCCATCACTGAGTATGATGCAAAGGCCTACACCAGTGGTCTCAAACTCGCGGCCCGCGGGGTGATATTTTGTGGCCCCCTACTTGACTTTAAAGTTTAATGTTAGTGCGGCCCGTCGTTGCGTGTGCCGCGTTTTTTTTTATCCCTTATGGGCTACCATAGATAGTCTCGTGACAGCTTACGGGTGGGTTTGTTATCAATAGTTGTCATAGACAACCGCGAAGTACAAACATACATACGGTACTGCGCCTGGAAAAAATGAGCGCGTCGCTTCAGTTATGAGCGCGCTGCCGCGCCTACATTTGAAATAACGAACTTGAGCGCGCAAAATATGTGAGCGCGATATGTGAACGGCCCCTTGGCGAGCTAACACCAATCAGGCCACGAGCTACTTTTAGCTCACGAGCGACGTGTTGGAGACCCCTGCTATAAAACAATGTGAGAATAATCATTTTGAGCTTGTAATATGTGTCCAACAGGTTGATAAGAAGGTTCACTTTGATTTGTGCAAAGTCAGTAATTTGCCTGAGACACTATACATGTGTAGAGAGAATTCAATAAGACGGGCAGACATGACTGCAAATATTTGTATTTCAAAAGCAATAATTGTTTTTCTAAGTATAATAAAAGGAAATGTGCCTTCCAAAAAAACATTCAATATCATATTGAAAATAAAAAGGACATGAGCAAATATAAGTATCACAAAGATGTGTTATAAGGAAAATAAAGTTTGTAAAATGAATTTCAACTGTCAGAGGGACGGCTCCTGAAGAACCAATCATGTACAGAAAGGAATGCTCAAATTCAGAGGAACAGTTCAGAAGAAACGTTAATAATAAAGATTGAGAAGATTGGATCAGTTGTGCTCCTTTTTTGGAATACTTGAATACTATTTTTTTGTGGAATACTTGATGCGGCCCAGCCTGACCCAGACTCTACCTCCAGCGGCCCCCAGTTAAGTTGAGTTTGAGACCCCTGGCCTACACTATAGCCACTACGTGACACTACGTTGTGCCATTTAATTTTGCCATTCATAAATAAGTGTTTTGACATGTCATGCCGAGTGGCACTATCCATGGTACTGGGAGGGGGATTTAATTCTTGCGTGTTTTTTCGTTGTGCGTGATCACAGTTCATATAAGCTATTAGAGTAAAAATATTGCGTTAGGCTCCTTCATGAGTTAATAAGAAAAAAGATTTTACAATTCCTGCAAATGCAGTGATGAAGTTCATGTTCTCATGATTTATTTTTATGAATAAAACTTTTTCAAAACACCCCCCCCCCCCCTCTCTGTTTTATTCACAAATCGCACCCTATATATGAGATATTTAATGCATATACTACAGTTTAAACATTTGGGGTATGTAAGATTTTTTCAGGTTTTTGAAAGAAGTCTCTTATGTTCACCAAGGCTGCATTTATTTGATAAAAATACAGTAAAATCAGTAATATTGTGAAATATTATTGTAATTTAAAATAACTGTTTTCTATTTAAATGTATTAGGAGTCTAATTTATTCCTGTGATGGCAAAGCTGAATTTTCAGCATCATTACTCGAGCCCTCAGTGTCACATGATCCTTCAGAAATCATTCTAATATGATGATTTGTTGCTCAATTAACATTATTATCAATGTTTAAAAAAAAAGTTTGTGCAGAAACTGTGATACATTTGTTTCATTATTGGATAAATAGAACGTTCAAAAGAACTTTATTCATTTACAATAGAAATCTTATGCATCCTTGCTGAAAAAAGTATTAATTTCTTTCAAAACTTTTGAATGGCAGTGTATTAAATGGATATGAAGTGCATGCTAATTTTCTCTATTTTCACATTTAAATTACCTTTGCTGTCATCTAACACTCACTTAAAGCTAATATTTAGAAAAATCACAAAATGAATATCCATTTTCATTTTGAGATGCCTTTTATTTATTTTATTTATTCAGGCAAAATGGCACACAGTTTTAATATCGACCATTGATCGGTTATCAGCCATAACAGGGAAGTAATTAGCATAATAGCGATAAATCAATGAATCCCTAGTGGTTATATAATAAAGGACCCATACAGGTAAACAATATTTATTGAGCAATTTTAACTTTAGCTCTCTTGGAGATATAAAGAGTAACTTTAACTCTCCAAGTTATTAATAATGCAATTCTAACGGCCACCTAAAGTTTAAGAAACAAATATGCATAATGTTCATGCTTACTGATCTTTATATTATATGTGAATCAAACAGAAATGCTCATATTCTCACCATATTTGGCGGCTGTCTTCGTAACATCAGCGCCCAAACTGAGTTGCTCAGCACCAAAAGGATAACCAGCATCACCTGCGGGTAAACATATTTACACCTGTATTACAATCAGACAGTCCAGTTCTCTTTCTCTCTTTTTCTTACCAACTTACCATCAATCCCAGCTGCAATGACTGGTGCACTGTAAGGATTCTGGCCTACAGCTCCACCTGTACCAGTAGCAAGTTGTTATAAAAGGAAGAGTGACTTAGGTATGAAATATCATAAATATATTTGCTAAAACTCCACAATGTTACCTGCTAAAGGCTCCATTGCTCCACCTGTACCACCTAATAGAGACAGACCATCTTTACTTCCTTTTTTATATATAGTTATTTGATCTTAAATGATCATATTTGGTTTATCCATAAACTTTATTATCTTGCTTAAATCATCTTCTTTCTTTTTCTCACAAGGCACTTTCACGTGCAAGTCAAATCCTCAGGCAAAGCATGAAAAGCTGGGATTTGCATGTTTCATTTGAATAACAAACATGTGTGATGCACATACCCAGACCAGTGTCTGGCCCGAGGGTTGGTATACCTCCATATGTAGTTCCACCATAACCACCAGTCTTGCCTTGAGGGCCAAGTCCAGCTGAGACCACAGGCTGGCCTCCGTAAGGCAAGGATCCGGCAGCTCCAAGCACTCCACCAGCCCCTTTAGACAAATCAGAGGCATGACAGGATCAAGCAACCACAACAAATAAGGCATATCTAGACAAAGAAGAACACACGTACATTAGCTTGACTGAACACTGAGCTGGAAAGATATATATACATATATACATATATATTCTGAATCTTTCCAGCTTTCCAGCATTAAATTGATGCAGTTCTTTTGAATCCTGAAAAAATGTATCACGGTATACACAAAAATATTAGGCAGCACAACTGTTTTCAACATTGATAATAATAATACAAAAAGTTTCTTGAGCAGTAAATGAGACTGTTTTCTGAAAGATCATGTGACACTGAAGACTGGAAAACATTCATCTTTGTCATCACAAGAATAGTTATTTTAAATTGTAATATTATTTCACAATATCACTGTTTTACTGTATAATAAATGCAGCTTTGGTGAGCATAAGAGACTTTTTTCAGAAACATTAAAAGACCCTAAACTTTTGAATGGTAGTGTAAATAGTGTGTTTAAATTAATTCGTTTGAATTTAATAAATCTCATTTTTGATTAATTGCCAAAGTACATTTTGGATGCTTTTTTGGATGTCTTTTTTCTTACCGTACTTTCTAGACTTGGCATCAGTACCCAGGCCGGGGTTCACTATCATCCCTGGACCTCCGAGGCCTCCAGCTCCAAAACCTGCAAGAACAGACATTGTGGGTTCACTTCTCAGAGGATGCTGTTTCTAGTTAACACTTGCTTTACCATTCCAGTATTCTAGTAGAACATTACAGTCTTGAGCAGATTACCTTATTAGTTTAAAAAACATGTGCAAAGGCAACCTCTGCTCTCTCTAGTGGGTAAGCTATTGCAGTTCAGATACTTCAGTTACCCAGATTAAGCTTGATGAGCTTATTTTCTACAATCTTGAGTAAAATAATATTGCGTATAATCACAGGACAGAGTGAATTAAACACTGGATGACGTGTTGACATTATTGTAGGTATTGAATCTCTCTTCAGTGTGAATGCGATGTTGTTGGTTAGACTAACAACCTTCAGCCTTACCAGCTGCACCATTCAGGCCAATATTATCAGCTAACACTGATGGGTAGACAGGTCCTGTAACATAATTATAATTGTCACTCAATTATAATTATGCCTATATGTTAGTGACACATTAGGACACTCTCGTAACAATCCAGTCTGACTCACCTCCCCCGTACCCGTCGGCTGTGCCATAAACATCACTGCCATATCCATTGCTGTAGCCTGTTGAGAAAACAGTATTCAACTCAACACTCAGTGCTGGAAAACAGAGGTAAAGTGTTAAAGTAACACAGGAAGCACCTCTGTGTTTTCTCAGTCAAAGTCAACCACTTTGCAACCAAGATGATTCGGAAAAAAAATGAGTGTGACATTTTGGGTGTTTCTTGCACAAACAAGCATGCACATGTTTCTGCAAGCAACCAAACGCAGAGGTCTTAGAGGGGCACTTTGCCTCCAGAGCGGCTCTTGGCTTTGTGCTGAACCAGCAGCTGCTGATCCGACCACACTCGGGGCTTAATGCATCAGTGCACCAATATATGATATTACAAATAGATTCACTTGAGTACAAACAGAGACAAGAACACTTATCAGAAGAAACACCTGGACGTTGTTTAAATTGTCTACATAGGGGGGAAAGACAGAGTAGTTGTCACATTTGTGTTTTACTACTTTGCATTCAAGTTGTCACAAATGGAAGCCTACCAAAAAATTTTAAACAGGGAAATTATGAAATGTAATTCATAAGAGGGTAAAAATGTAAAGGTGACACAAAGTGACAATTTGCCCCAATACAAATGTGACATGCGCTGTTTACACAATACTATAGAAAACATAAGATGATATTGGAATTTTAGTGTCAATAATTTGTATTTGAACTAGGTGTTAGAAACCACCATTCACTACTGTTAAAAAGTCTGGGGTAAGATTGTTTAATGTTTTTGAAAAAGTACCTAATGCTCACCAAGGTTGCATTTATGTGATCAGTAAAACAGTAATATTGTGAAATATCACAATTTAAAATAACTCTTTTCTATTTGAATATATTTTAAAATCGAATTTATTCTTATGATGCAAAACTGAATTTTCAGCATCATTACTCCAGTCTTCGGTGTTACTTGATCCTTCTGAAATCATTCCAATATGATAATTTGCTGATTAAGAAACATTTATTATTATCAATGTTGAAACAGTTGTGCTGCTTAATATTTTTTGTGGAAATCATGACTTTTTTTCAGGATTCTTTGAAGAATAGAAAGTTCAAAAGAACAGCACTGATTTGAAATAGAAATATTTTGTAACATAGCACATCTTTACTGTCACTTTTGATTATTTTAATGTGCATTTATATAGCCAGCCCTAGTGGCAACTTCCCAGTGTGACAACTAGCCCCGGTCTCCTTTATATAATGAAGAAATACACATTACTTACCTATTTGCTTTCCCGCTCTAACTCCCTGTGGATATCCACCAACCCCAAGACCTGCATCAGCAATAAAGTAAAAAAGTTAGCTGTTACCAAAATATGAATATATAGCATTATGATAATGTGCCTTTTTGGAAAGAAACAATATTTTACAATTTCTACATACCTGCTCCATAACCATCAGAAAAACCAGCTCCAAGATAGCCAGCAGCACCAAGGCCGTACCCTGTGGACAAAACATGATAACTGTGAAACTTTGGCCACTAGTATTTTTTTATATATAAATATACTTTAATAAAAATTATAGATGTCACAGAATCCTGTGATCATTCAGGGGCCTGTGGGTCAGAATAATCATGCAAGATACTTCACAGTGTGACTAGTCCATACATATGGCCTGTGGGAGAAAAATAATGCAGCATGCATTGGACACACATTAGCACAGAGGTAGATATAAAGATAAAGGCTCATGTGAAGCATATAAAAAGAAAAGTGAACAGAAAAGAGAACAGCCCCAAGAAATAGATGAGGCATTAGTCCAGCACACACACAAACCCTTCTGAAGAGCTGTGCTAGAGAAAAGCACTCATTCATAGACCTGCAGCTGCAATGAGTCCATGATGAGGGGTGGATTTTCCAGTCCACAATCACTAACACTCTAATTTGTCATCATAGGCCATATTTTCCTTTCATTTAATGGCGGTTTAAGTTAGGTATTGATTTTAGACTGGGGAAAACACCACCTCATGACATGCATTCAGCCATAAACCGGTGACATTTTAATATGGAAGACGTTTACCCTTATTGGATGGCTTGGTGCCCTGTCTGCTGGGCAAAACTGCTCCTGTATTGCATCACAACAGTGGTTTATCTCAACACTGGGAGTCCAACATAGTTCCTATCATCTATGCAATATCTTTTGTATGCATTGCCTTTCCCTTTTCCTTTACTTTCAATGCACATTGTAAATTACATTTAATTACAGGAACTTTTAACCGATTACTTATAGATACTCAATTCGTGGTGTGTATAACACCGAACAGATAGTTTCTATGCTACTGAGGCGATAAAAACTTGCTTTATTGACAAATACAGTGAAGGCTTTACCGTTGTTTATAACTCCTTGTCCATTAGACATATCTGCTGGTGGACCATAGCCTAGAGATTACAACAGTAGTTACCTACATAAAGTACAGAATCTTCTATTGATCATTTGATCCATAAACATCTACACTATACCGTTCAAAAGTTCAGGGTCAGAGAAGTTTTACGTTAAAAAATTTTTTTTTAAGAAACTAAATGTTTTTATTTAGTAAAGACACATTAAATTGATCAGAGAGTGGCAGTAAAGACATTATAGACAAACCATTTCTATTTAAAAAATGCTTTTTGAACTCTCTATTCATAAAAGAATCTGATAAAAGCAACAAATCACGTTTTCAACAAAAAAATATTAAGCAGCAAATCTGTTTTCAACATTGATAATAATAATAAATGTCTCTCAAGCATCAACTCAACGTATAAGAATGATTTCTGAAGGATCATGTGATACTGAAGACAGGAGTAATGATGCTGAAAATGTAGCTTTGCCATTACATTACATTTTAAAATATATTAGCATAGAAAAGTGTTATTTTAAATTGAAATAATATTTCACAATATTAACTTTTACCGTATTTTTGTTCAAATAAATGCTTGATATGCCTTGGTAAGCATAAGACTTTTAAAAAAAAATCTTACCGGCCCCAAACATTTGAACGTTATTGTACAAGGAGAAGAATTTGAAATAAAATATTTTAAATGTTCTAAAATCTGATGTGCTCTAATTGGCATTAATTCAGGTAAATGCTATAAGCTGATGGAGTGTGTTTACCCTTAATTTGAGCCCTCAGTCCATTGGTCACTCCTGGTCTTGAGGGGAAACCTATGGACCGCAGCTACAGTTACTATGTACCTACCAGTCCCACATAAAACTATAAAACTCCCAAATACTCAAACTTTATCCTTGCTTGAACTGTATACTAACTATACTGTACATATTTGACCATTTACTACAACTATCGTATTAAAACAGAGACGCTACAGTAATTGATATCATGCAAAAACCAAATCACACATACATCTGGGATGAGGTTTACCATTGGTTATAGCACCCTGTCCATTAGGGACCCCTCCGTGACCATAACCTAAACATCACAACACCAGTTAACGTTCGCTAACAAGATACTATCAACACAGCAGCTGCCAATGATGTAATAGCATAGAGAGATGGTCTGCAGGAGAAAAATCAAAGAACATCAACAAATCTCAAGGCATAGTGAGGTAACAGAGAGAAATATACCACCCAAAAAGTAATTTGTGCTTATTTTCATGGGATTGTATGGTTTTGTGTGACATTAGGGTCATCAGTGCACCATGCAGTGCAAATGGCTTAAATACTGTAAACAAAATTTCAGAACAGCAGATATTTTTATAGAAAAGCTATAAAAAGCATGAAAGTCACACATGGAAGTACTGAGGTTTACCATGGGCCCTCTCTCCCTGTGACACGAGCTGGCCACCTGTAGGCCCAGCACCTGTGAATACAGACATATCAGCAGGAAGCAATGATTTCAAGGGTTAGAAAGATAAAAAAGCAACATAATGCAAATTGCACATAGTAGTGTTACTGTTAACTTGACAACAATCGAGTTGAAGCAGCATGATTTCTGTTTTTTCAAACATTGAAACATTGATTGTCTGGATTTGACAAAGATCACTAATGTACAGCAGGATATCTCTATTGTGTCACGGCCATGAGACAAGAGACAGAACGCAACGATGGAATAACACAACTGAAACTCTTGCACATACACAACAACAACATAGACACAACAATGTGATGAGTTATGTTATCGGGAAGCATTTGATTCAGGCCTTCAATACCTGCCGATTCAAACGTCTGTAAATGTTTCCTCCAATTGTTTTTGCATAGGCAAAATAATATGCCCTCTGCAGACTGGACAACAAAACTGAACTTTAAAACTGAAACCTGAACCTGAGAATCTAGATCAGAGGTCTTCTACCATGCTCCCGGAGACCCAATGTCCTGCCAAGTTTATTTCCAAACACACCTGCCTGTTATTTTCAGGCGTTTTTGATTGGTTGGAGCTAAACTCTGCAGGACAGTGGGTTTCCAGGAGCAGGGTTGAAGACCTCTGATGATGATGATGATGATGATGAGTCCTTTTTATGCTCTATCTCTTTCTAAACCTTCGAAAATAGCAGCACAGAGACAGTGGAGTCAGGCCCAAACGTCAACAACACAAGTCAAGAAATGCTTAAATGAGCATTAAGCGACAATAAAACAATTTGACCGAAGACAAATCTCCTTACTACAAATCAGAAAATCAAGATTTAATATCTTAAATTAAGTAAATGCATCTTGTACAGGAAGACATGACAAAAATACTGAGGAAGAAAATAATTTCTTGCAGGCCTAAATTACGTAGGCCTATATTTTATCTCTTCTGTTTCAGGTAAAAATTTTCTAAATCATTTCTCATATTTACTCTCATGAGATTATTAGTTTAGTGTATAGATGTATGTGGATTTTGATGTTCTGTGAACAGCAATTATCCCTAAAAAAATGCAAGAAGAATGAGTTAGGAACTCTGGAGAAGATTGGCAGGTTTACCCAAATTTGATGGCTCTCAGGCTTGCCTTTTGGGTGTGCCAACTGCTACACCATATCTTGAAGATCACAAAATCAGTTTAACAGACTTGAAACACCTAATCTGGAAGGAGGTGAGCCTTTTTGTTATCTGGCTACTGTAAAAGCATGTAGATTACAACACTGAAATGGCGTATGTATGACACGCCAATTCGTATTTCCATTTTTGGCGTGCTATCAACACGCATAATCGCTTTTCAAATTTCAGCGTGTTTATCAACGCCTTTGACTTAACGTTATATTACTGTATTATGTACATATAAATATATGACCTACCCCAACCCCGTCCCTAAACCTACCCGTCACTGGGGTTAATACCATTTATGAGTCTTCTCCTACCATCCTAGGAAAAGAAATATCGCTCCACAGATGTAGAATATAGATTTTGCTTCGTTTCGCTCGGACATTTAACGGCGTACACATACACGCGGAATCACTCGGACGTTTAATGGCGTAGACATACACGCAAAAGATTTCGGCGTGGACATACACGCGGATGGCTCAAAATGCGTATAGATAACACGCCACTTGAATTGAAAGTGGCGTGTATGTTTACGCAAAGTCATGATGTCATGTTGGATTAATGGTCAGCTAGAACAGAGAAAAGCGAACAATTTACCATTGGCTCTCACACCTTGCCCAGCAGAAACACCTGCCATATCATACAAATCTGAATAAGCTTTGAATCAACCCAGAATACTAATTACAGATGCTATTGCTAAGCACACACACAAGATTACTGCAATTAAACAACAAAGAAAGTGGCTCAAATATTCCAGCAATACTTGTCATAGCAACGTTTTCTTAGGGTAAACATGGATGTGCACACATAACAGTTAAAAACCGACTGCACCCATGACAAATACGATGTGCATACAAAGAAACAAACATCCACAAACACAACCACCTATAGCCTATAACGTTACCTGATTGCACGTATGCATATTCTCTCACTAGCACATCCGACCACAACATTTAACCATGTGACCACCAGCATCACTTTTTCCAACGCACTAAAATTACTTTTGAGAGGTTGGGGCATACATGCAAGCATATAGTAAAACGATGATAAAAGTATGTAAATGATTCTGAAAACAATTAAGTGTCGACAAACGCAATGCAAATTAATCACATCTGAGGTTTTACCGGGTTACAGCGCACATCAGTGGCACATAAAGGTACTGCAGTCAACAACTGAAAAAATATATATTTGCCTACTTCATTTAGCATTAAAATTAAGGCCAGCAGCTTATTAAAAGGCACTAAAAGTAATATTTATTGTATTCAATACCTATTTATTTGATCAGTGAGGTCAAGCAATACAATGCATAACATGCAATGTCAAAAGATCACATTTGAAATAGGTTGATCTAATATGAAATATTTTTTTAATTAGGCTACTGCAGATTTTTTTTTTTGCACATTTATGAACTTAACATTTCTTAAAGGGATAGTGCACCCTGTCATTAATTACTCACCATCATGGTGTTCCAAACCTGTAAGATTTTCATTCATCTTTGGAGTTCTTTTTGATGAAATCTGAGAGCTTTCTGTCCCTCCATTGACAGCTACGCAACTAAAACTTTGACTCCATAAAAAGTTCATAAAGAAATCGTAAATCTAATCCATATAAATTCAACGGTTTAGTTTGCTTTATATGATAAACAGACTGAATTAAGGCTTTTATTCACATATAAACATTAATCAGCAAACATAAAGAGAAGCTCAACCAAACCTGCTTGACGCGCTAGCGAGCACAAACCTCTTGCGGAAGCTGCATGCTGTGTAACACGGGAATGAACCTCATTGGTTCTTGCTGAAGCTAAAACGTGCTGCGTAATACAAATGAACCTCGTTGGTTCTTGCTGAAGCTCAAACATACTGCGTAACACACGAGAAAGAACTTCATTGGTTCTCTCACATCAAGCGAACATGCTTGAGCTTCTGTTTACCACAACTGATGTGTGAGTTGATGAATGTTTATATGTGAATAAAAGTTTAAATTAAATTAAATTAAATTGCGATTTTGAGCTAAAATTTTGACTAAACTGCTAAATTCAGTTTTACAATCTCTTTATCAACTTTTTGAAGTGTCAAAGTGGTAGTTGTGTAGCTGTCAATAGAGGGACAGAAAGCTCTCAGATTTCATCAAAAAATATTTTAATTTGTGTTCCGAAGATGAATGAAAGTCTTATGGGTTTGGAACGACATGAGGGTGAATAATTAATAACAGAATTTCCCCCTATTTGGGTGAACTAACCCTTTAAAACATATATTTTAATTAAAACATTGGCCTATATTTTAATATAAAATAATATAATATATAATAACATTTAAAATAATAGTTTTCAACAGTAGCTGTTGGATTAATCAAAAGAAATTATGAAGTTATGAAATGCCACAAGGGTTCAAATAAACACAAATTTGCTGTACCTTAATTACTACGAAATACTGCTATATCATGAGTGAAAAAAATTAATCTAGCATCTTGTGACACATTTTCACTTTATCACAAGAGTCCAATTACTGCAGAAATCTGAAATAAAGAAAATATTATTTGAACAAAAAGATCCAACCGCTTCCTGAAATAAAGTGAATAAAGCTGACCAGTTGCTGTAGCAGCCTCAGTAAATGACGAAACATTGTTCAAATACCTGAGTTTAAACACAAACATTTTCATAATGCTTCAACAGGGAGAGTTTACATACCGCGTCCAGCGCCGGGGTATCCTCCTGCACCGTAACCTGGCAACAAGACAAGAGAGATGTCAAGGTTACAGAAAGAAGAAATAAATGCCTGTTTAGTGGAAGCTGACACATAAACTCCCACTCCCACACGACTTCATCAAAAATATGACACCTCATCATGGCAAATGGACAGCATACTGTATATCACTATGTGTGAAAGATTTTAATCACAGTGCAAGGTTAAATTGTGATTGATTGGTTAGATCAGATCCAATCTGCTACACAACGTTTGGGTCGGACAATGATGGCATTAAACTGGAATGTGTCATATAATGTTTATTGAGTTTTGGGATGTTATGGTGCGCACACTCACCAAGCTGTGCTCCATAGCCATTACTGATATAACCTAGAATATGTCAAAATCAAACAGGAAATAAGTCTGCTGCAAGAGTAATTATGTATCCTGAATACAAAGCAAATGAGCAGCTCTCACCTCTTCCTCCAAGCTTCCCTGCTGGATAACCCAAGGCTGCTCCCAGCCCGTTGCCTAGGCCATACCCTGCTCCGAGTCCCAGCCCGGCAGCTCCAAGGCCAGCCCCAAGGCCGGTTCCAAATCCAGTTCCAAGGTTTGCGGCTAAGACCAAAATAGTAGGACCATGGTGATGAATGCAAGAATAAGAAATCCATCAGATGTAAAATTTATGGTTATTTAGGAATGACAGTTTTACCTCCTCCATAACCGAGTGTTCCATATCCTTGTTTCAGGCCTCCTCTGATCGCAGTGGGTCTGTATGCTGCCCCTGACAGATACCATAATCATTACACATAGAGCCCATATGCACATAATAACCCAGGCTATTGCACACAAACATGCTTGCATGCATTTTACACTACCGTTCAAAAGTTTGGGGTCAGTGCGCATAAGAGACTTCTTTCAAAATGTTCAAAAATCTTACCAACCCCAAACTTTTGAAAGGTTTGTGTGCACAAAATGAAAGAGAAGAGTAGATGAATTCACCTCCAAGATAACGGCCAGCTGTTTGGGGGGGAAAAAAGTATGTTTGACAGAATCCAAAAGACTAACGATCACAGTTTATAAATAAACACCCTAGTAAACTGTCTCAGTGGCTCTTCTTTTCAAAATCAGTTCTGTATATTTTGGCATGTTTTTACTCAAATGTTAATTATAAACCTTTATTGATTTATTGATTCTCATTTTTATCTCAACTTGATCAGAGGTTGATGGACTCACCACCTGTCTTTCCCGGCCTGCCCGCCCCATAGCCACGGGCTCCAAGAATACCAGCCACTGGACATAGGACAGTACAGAAATGAAAGAAAGTAAGATAAGACAACCGTTGTACTGACATAAGCAAATTGCTAATTGGATTCAACAGTATCCGTCAGATTCAGGCAGACAGACTTACCTCCGGTCTTTGCGCCGATACCAGGACCTACAAAGAAGTCAGCATTGGTAATGAAACTCATTATCTGATGTATAATGCTCTGACCTCTAACCCTCTGTAATATCTCACAGATACACCACTATACAGAAATGAAAAATTGCAATATACCTCGACTCGCCAATCTTCCCAGGGCTCCGGCCTGTGGCCTAACTCCTTTAAAACAAGGGGAATAAAAACTGTGTAAATGCACTGAGCCTAAAAGATAGAAATAAAGAATAACCATAGAATACTATATTATTTGGACATTTACCATGATGATACCATTTTTTTTTTGGCAAACCTTTAAGTACTATGTAAATACATATTTGATATCAATGGGTCGACGTATTACAATCTGATAACATTCATATACTATCACAATATGCTTTTTAAAGGCAGGGGTCATAAGGTCGTAAAGCAGTGGCATGTCTAAAAAAAAAAGGTGGTCAAATAGATTTCGTCACTTCCTGATGCACATGTTATGTGTGTAGAGTACAAAGCTTGACTCTTTTTGTCTTCTCTTTGAGACTCCTGTTTGAATTCTTAGAATCGGCAGAATGGTTGAGAAACGGTGCCATCTAATAAGAGATTAGCAGTGCAAATTTCCCCCCTCTCCACATTTTTGGAACAGGCCTCCATTGATGCTCAAACACTGTAGGACAATGTGTACTGACTGTGTATGGGTCGTATAAAGTCAGCACTGACAAGAGGTCGACAAATTTTGACCACCACTGTCACCTGTAGGCCCAAGGTTTTGATCTTCAGACATGAAATACGAGCGTTCAAGCTGCGGTCAGGTTTATGGAGGCTGGAGCGGATCCTGCAAACTCAAACACGTCAAGCCGTGACTCACTTCCAGAGGTGTTTTTTTCTCTCTATTTATCAGAGCTTTCAGACATTTAACATACAGTCGTTGTGTGCATTTATGCCGTCATTTTCTAGACACCTTTTAGTCTGAGGAACAAACATTCTTTACTGATGGCTAAACATTTGATGACATAATACCATCATAAATCCAGTATAATGCTGACTGAGATAACAGTGTCCTATTAAGAGTGGCCCAGACTAGCATATATATATTGTCTGTCAAGTATTGATATATACCATTTGATAGTCTATTCAAAGTGCAAACAAGTAGAAAGATATTTCACACACTTTTGATATGTCAAACAGCTACTTTTCTCATTGTTTAGGTATTTCCAAGAAAAGCAGCACAAGCACTTAATTCACAAGGACTGATTCACCAGACCTCAATGAAGTGTTTTCATAGTTATCAAAGGACTGGTAATATTATATGGGGAAAAGGATTAACCTAAACCTTTCTAAACCTAAAATGTGTATGTTTAGTTAATCAAATTAATCAAATATAGTGCAAATAGTAGTAGCATATGCAAAACTACATGATGTTTAATTAATTCATTTTAAAATTTCAAACCCCTAAATTTTCATAGTTTTATAATATAACATTGGCTTTGAGTATTATGTTTAAATATATGTTTTTAGCACACAGTAAATCTCAATAAAAAGTCCAGTTCATATGGGCTAGATGTGGTTAAAAAAAGGTTAGTGTTACTTTTGTTCAGCGATACAACTACTTTGTTTTTGTCTAAATATTTTGTTTCAAATGGCATGCAAACCGATCTCAGTTATCCTGCATTGCGACAAATTATAGAATGACATTAGTGGGTGAGACATGTATACAAAAGGGTGTTAAAGTGTAATTGCAAATTTAAATTATGTAGTATAGAATATATATATATATATATATATATACATAGTAATTTCTTGTTTCTTTTTATTTGATTTTAATAGATCTTTTGATGCATATTTACATTTAATTACCAAACTGTCAGTTTGTCCGGACTGTTATACATTCAAAGTGATATTTATAGAGTAAAAGCATTGAACAAAGGTCTCTCCACTTAATGATGAAAAGAGTAATTGTGTGCACATCCCACCTTCTGGCAGGTGCAGGACAAAAAGAACTGGTCGAAACGTTGCTTTTTTATTAAATATGGGAGCATAAAGCAGTGTTGCGGACATTACATTTTCTTTTACTTTCCACTTAATGACACATATATTCACTACGTATTGCTCTGTTATACAGTGCCATGGCAGTTAAAACGAAAAAATATATATTTGATCAGCAACCAAAACCACACATCATATTTGAAGCCAATTAAGGGCCTCCCTCAAAGGCATAAGGGCTTGAGTACATGAGAATTATAACCATACAACCTTTTCCATTATAAGTAGTCCCATTTCAAATTAATCTGGTTTCATTTTCAGTCATAATTACAATGATTTGACCCCATGTGTGCTCAAATGTCATTACAAACCACTACACTTCTTTCTTCCCACCCCTGCATTCACAAATTCTCCTGGTTTCTCTATCCTTCCACCCACCCTCAAGCCTCTTCAAGAAGCACTTTAGAAGATGCATCTAACTTACCTCCTTGTATGGTGTTCTGTACCAGCCACAGGACCAGTGAGGTCTGCAGGAGTGCCCGGACCAGCATGTTGGCAGACAGACAGACTTGGCGACAGCGGACAGTCAGAAATGCACACAGGTGAAGTGAGAGTCAAGCAGCCTTAGTTGAAAGCAGCACCACTGGCCAATCTGCCCGCCTGGCCTTAATTTATTCTCTGGAAGCCCTTGTCTTTCCTCTGACCAGCCCTGCCCTCTGCTGTGCTATTGGGCACCCCTGACCAAATCGCCAGCCCTTTCTCCCTTTCTTTCACTCCTCGTCCCATTCTACCTCCTTTCCTCATGCTCTACCAAGCCTGAAGAAGACAGCCAGCTTCATCCAGATGTTTATTGTGGCATGCCCCTATAGATGGCGCCTATGGTGGTCACATATTTTAAACTTTATTTCAATGGCCCACTTTACACATTTTACTAATTAGTAACTTTGCAACTTCAACTAACTCTCATTAAAGTATTAGTAGACTATTGAGTTATAGTTAGGTATTAGGGTTCAGGTTAGTAAAATAAGTTGACATGTAGTTACTTCAAGTTACTTATAGTCAGTAGAACTTCTGTTGAGGGACCATCAAAATAAAGTGTTAGCAGATATTAAGCAGACAGTCTAGTAATAAATGAGAGTTAGTTGACATGTAGTTGCAAAGTTACTTATAGTTTTAAAATGTCTAAAGTGGACCATTGAAATAAAGTGTTACAATTTCCTAAAATTGACCATCGTCCAAGGATGTATATCAGCTCATAAAGCCATCTTATGTCTTCATGATCAATTGTATTGAAAATTACATCAAGGACTTCAATATTACAGTATTACTGTTTTTAGGCTGATTGTTTTATTGTAGTGGCCTTTTTTTCTTAGCGAAAGTTAAGATTAATATACTATATGTAATATACAGGTAATATTATAAAATAGTTTAAACTAAAACTATATAATATGTATATACACTCACCGGCCACTTTATTAGGTACCTAATGCTAGTAACGGGTTGGACCCCCTTTTGCCTTCAGAACTGCCTCAATTCTTCGTGGCATAGATTCAACAAGGTGCTGGAAGCATTCCTCAGGGAGTTTGGTCCATATTGACATGATGGCATCACACAGTTGCCGCAGATTTGTCGGCTGCACATCCATGATGCGAATCTCCCGTTCCACCACATCCCAAAGATGCTCTATTGGGTTGAGATCTGGTGACTGTGGAGGCCATTTTAGTACAGTGAACTCATTGTCATGTTCAAGAAACCAATTTGAAATGATTAGAGCTTTGTGACATGGTGGAAGTAGCCATCAGAGGATGGGTACATGGTGGCCATAAAGGGATGGACATGGTCAGAAACAATGCTCAGGTAGGCCGTGGCATTTAAACGATGCCCAATTGGCACTAAGGGGCCTAAAGTGTGCCAGGAAAACATCCCCCACACCATTACACCACCACCACCAGCCTGCACAGTGGTAACAAGGCATGAGGGTTCCATGTTCTCATTCTGTTTACGCCAAATTCTGACTCTAACATCTGAATGTCTCAACAGAAATCGAGACTCATCAGACCAGGCAACATTTTTCCAGTCTTCAACTGTTCAATTTTGGTGAGCTCTTGCAAATTGTAGCCTCTTTTTCCTATTTGTAGTGGAGATGAGTGGTACCCGGTGGAGTCTTCTGCTGTTGTAGCCCATCCGCCTCAAGGTTGTGCGTGTTGTGGCTTCACAAATGCTTTGCTGCATACCTCGGTTGTAACGAGTGGTTATTTCAGTCACTGTTGCCCTTCTATCAGCTCGAACCAGTCTGGCCATTCTCCTCTGACCTCTGGCATCAACAAGGCATTTCCGCCCACAGAACTGCCGCTCACTGGATGTTTTTTCTTTTTCGGACCATTCTCTGTAAACCCTAGAGATGGTTGTGCGTGAAAATCCCAGTAGATTAGCAGTTTCTGAAATACTCAGACCAGCCCTTCTGGCACCAACAATCATGCCACGTTCAAAGTCACTCAAATCAACTTTCTTCCCCATACTGATGCTTGGTTTGAACTGCAGGAGATTGTCTTGACCATGTCTACATGCCTAAATGCACTGAGTTGCCGCCATGTGATTGGCTGCTTAGAAATTAAGTGTTAACGAGCAGTTGGACAGGTGTACCTAATAAAGTGGCCGGTGAGTGTATATATATGTATACTATATATATATAATGTACAGTCGGTCGGTCATTATTGAAAAATATGTCATATAATTTTATGAAACAATATCACAATAATACATAACAGATCACTACACAGATCACATAAATTATTATTATTATTTTAAAAAGTATTGTTAATACCATTATTAACAGGATATTAAAATCTCAATGCAATCTGAACAAAGTGATTTATTGCACAGTGAAACATCTTTCACACAGGTCCACACATTACTACTGATATCTCTAAACAGAGCTACTAATTTACTTATTGATGTCTGTATGAGGGCTGAGCATTGAACCAAACGCTTAGTTTAGGTCAGTCTGCTTAAACACATGGCCTGATATTCAAGACCGGCTCCACCTCACACTGAAAATCACCATGATTTATAGCAGTAAAAACACCATATGAGTCACTGCACTAGCTCCTGTTGGCAAAGATTCAGAAAAAAAAATAGGCTTTCATACTGTTCTGTTTTCTAAGCAGGCATTTGTCTAATGAGTTAGTCTAAATTATTAACAGTCCGTGTCCTGTGATGAAAACAGGCCAAGGGAGGAAGGACAGGGACTCTGTTGTGGATAAGGTTAAAAGGTTTACCTCAAGTCCAGACAGGTCTCCCTGTAAGTTTTCTGTAAATTTGTGCAACTTTGTTTTAATTACAAACCGTGTAAATATCCTGCTAGCAAAGCTTTGAAAAATATGTAAGGGGAATAATACAAACCAGTGTAGGATGTGGAGATGCAGAGTCCCACATTAAGCATTTATAAAGTTTGTTTTTCACAGGAGGACAGTCACTGGCAGAGACTCAGTCCAGTGAAGTCATATTTGAACAGCAATTTAAGGCCTCAACCATAACATCATCAGCAGTTTATTTCGACTTTTGACATTTTCTGTCTGCATTCGTTCTTTTACGCTTTTTTGTTTTCAAAAGGCATGAAGAACCATCTTGCGCTGAACATAGAACATGCTCTGAGTAAAACACAGTAGCCAGGTTCACACTTTCCACTCACCCTTTTCGCTGAACAATCTATTTGTTTTATAATCTTTAGCAGTACGAACACAGACACCCATCAGACAGAATGCACACATAAACAGGTGTAGAACTATAGACTAATAACTTTTTCACCATCCATCCATCCATCCATCTCCAATATTACACCTGTTTATGTGAGTGCCCAGTCTGGTTGTCTATGTGTATGTGCTGACTTCGTACTATACGAAAAGTGTGATGAATGATGAATATGCTCATTAAGCTCTCAATATGTTTGTTTGGACAATATTTCCACTCTGGAAAACACTTTCATGCAGTTAATTTTGTACAGTTATATTCTTCTCTTTCACTTTAATAACTGACATTTAATGTTGTCCATTTATTTATGTATGGGCTTTTTTTTTAATAGATGTAGACAGCAGTCCTGACACGATCGAAGGCTGTTTTAAAAAAGCTACGAAACTTAATTTGCTCTGCCCCCTAAAATACCTTCTTTAGGCCAAAATCCCAAAATGCATAGGGTTGCACTCAACAAGAAAAATAAAAATAAATTAACAATTCTAAAATGATGGATAAAGCAATGGAAATATTAGAAATATGTTAAATGTTTTTAAATGTAATTAATTTAACTGAACGATATTAATTAAAAAAGATAAATAATTAAAAACCAACCAGTTTTACAACTTACTAAAGGGGTAATTTACCAAAAAATTATAATCCTTTCATTATTTACTCATTCTGTCACTTATTTACTCTGACTTTATTTGTTTTGTGCAACATAAAAGAAAATGTTTTAAAGAATGCTGGTTGCCAAACAGCTTTGGTTTAAACAAATAAAACAGTCTTCAAAATATATTTCTTTGTGTTCTGCAGAAAAAAAGAAATGCATACAAGTTTGGAGTGACATGCATGAGGGTGAGTAAATAATAACAACATTTTTTGGGTGGATTATACCTTTAAATATTGTGTCATGCCACTCACATTTCCTGTAGACAGGACTGCATCTGAAATTGCATACTTCCCTACTATTTAGTAGGCAAAAAACAGTATGTGACAAAAGCTATTGTACGAATTCACTGTAGTCATAAAAGAGTAGGCAAAAAGTAAACGGATCCGCCGAGATTCTGAAGTGTGCATTTGATGAACATTTTACTATCCCATGAGGCCATGGGAGAGGATTTGTGAATGGAATTAAGTGAAGTAACTGACGCTGGTAGGTCACATGATAATGACAACATGGCGAATGTATGTCCAGATTAAATTTATACTATACACAATCATACTAGGCCTATATAGAAGCACTTTTTAGCAGTCGTAAAGTAATTACTTATTCAAAATAATTACCTACTCAAGAGAGTATGCGATTTCAGATGCAGCCTAGATTTTAAGAAAGCGCTAATGAGCTGCAAGCTTGTGCACAACCAGTGTGCCATGGCTTCAGCCATCAAGTTTATTCAACAGATTTCATTGCAGTCAGTCAGTGCACAAACTAAAATGGCAGCTGATCACGATGAAACAACTGTTATGTTGTTAAAGTTATAACAAATGGAGATTCAAATGGAGTTACAGAGATTATATACACACAACCCTAATATAGATAGAGAGAGACAGGCCTGATGTTGCTGGGAATCTTTGGGCTCTATTGTCCACTTAAACGGACACCCAGACACTAACCACAAGCCACCCAGAAGTTTGGAACACATACTGTACCACAGGATAATACCTGATAGCTGGTGTCAGACCCATTAATAAGCAAATTTACCATTTTTAAATATACCTCACACACAGTTTGAGGCCCGCATGAGTTTGACTGTGTGCCACCACCACAGAAGAGGTGAAGATAAATAATCACTGACAGATTCATTCTCTGTAAAAGCTTTCGCATGTATTTGTAAGAATGTGTGTTTTGGTGTAAATGACAACGCTTTCGAGTGTTTATCACTTTTATTGCACTGCAAGTCTTCTATGCTCATGTTGCGTAACACACTTTTGCAGTGTAACTCTACACACACACCTAGTATTTCTGTTGCACAGCGCTCCATGTTTTTAGCCTACAGGTATGGCAGTCACTCTGCCTGCACCTGTGATGGTGGTGCTGTTAGCGTTTCGCTCCACAGAG